CCCCCAAAAAAAAAAAGAAAAAAAAAGAAAGAAAGAAAAATAAAAGAAAAAGAAAAGAAAAATCCCCACCCAACAAAAAAATGGCGCACACATAGAAATTTAAAAATAATAATAAAAAGAACTACCCACCCAAAAAAAAAACTGCCATGTTTGAAGGCAGTTAGTCTAAGTCATCATGTGCTTCGTGTGTGGCATGCTTCGGACAATTTTGTCTCTATACATTTATACTGCTTTACCCTCTTTTCCTCTACTTTTCACGGATAGTTTGAACCTTTCCCCTATACATTGGCATCATTTATGACAATTTCCCATGGTTCATGATAGGTTTGTATAACTTTGAAAATTCAGGAGGGTTTTCTTGAACTTATAAAAATCAAGGGGATTTGTGCAAAATACCTCACATTTCGTAGAGTTTTTGTGAAATTCACCCTTCATTTACAAAGATAGTAGTTTATTCTATATGTTTCTGAAACCTGAGTTGCAACCTGCTAAATTCACAGCTTATCAAATGGACCCCATGTTACACAATCTCTTATTATAAAAACATATAAATTTATTTATAGGGGTATTTGCAATATAAATACATACAATTCACACTTTCGTTTCTGTTTGATGAATATTGATACATCACATGGCATATCATCTCCGAAATTTGTCTCGACAAGCAGGAATAAGCAAAATCCATCCCAAAAGAAAATCTTATTTCTCCTTATGTTGGTTGCTGTAATTCAATTCATTGGTATACCTAAACTCAGAATTTGTTTTTTCTCCCCCATTATCTCAGGATAATAAAGCAATCAATTCATTGGTATACCTAAACTCAGAATTTGTTTTTTCTCCCCCATTATCTCAGGATAATAAAGCAAAGTTACTAAAAACTGTCCGTCTATATTGTTTTTGTTATTTCTTTTTACAAATATATTGATTCATATTTATCTTGTTATATCAGTTAATTACTCATTAAAATTTAAATTCAAGTATATCTGACCCTCACCTGACCCCATGGTGGGAAACTCGTGGGGTGCCCATTTTTACTTAAATCAATAATCTAATATTCAAATACAATTGTATTTTTATGAAAACATGAATTTTTTTGTTTACTCAACCAATACCCCTTTCATTGTGATGGGCACCCGGCAAAATGATTCAGCTAAAATTTCTTATACGGTATGCTATTAAAATTAGGTTTTCTGTCCAGAAATATCCTACCAAAACCTCGGACATGTCATAGTTTTTGCTCTTGTAGTTACTAATTCGGTAGTTTTAATACTTTTGGAATCTATTGTGGATAGATTGCTTATGTTTCTACATTTTGGATGAGCAGCAAAGGATTTACTATGAGGCCTTGTCAAGGAGCCATAGATCAGCTTGATTTGAGGAACTTGGAAAATCAATCCCAAATGTGAGTCCTGGAATGGCCAAATTGCAAATTATTGTGGTCCTTTATAGTAATATCGAAGGCAAAAATTCCGTGCAGCTACAAAGTTTTGTTCGTATAAAAAGCAATTTTTTATAGTGATGTAAATTATGTAGGAGAGTTTAAGATTTTGATATAATTGAATGTACTTCGAAATATGTATGTACTGTCGTACTGAGAAATGCAATTTTGATTCACTCGAGAATACGAGTTACATGTGATGCGAAACTTTTAATGCTCTAACAAAGTCATTATTGCTCTAGCCCCTATAGTCTTATGATCATCAGACTCAGTCATGTCCAAATATCTGCTGTCATCCTCACATTAAATAGTTGGATGACTTACCCTCTTTAGCGACCAATACCCGTAAGGTATCTGCTTACTCAGCTGCCTATTAGGATTCGGCTAGAGTTACCTTTTTGCCTTTTCAATATGCTATAAAAGAAAGCTATGTTGCATGGGGTAAGCTCTTTGGTTTAGGCCATACAACTCTGAATCCCTTTTCACTTTATATTTCTTCCCTTAAGATTAATTACCGACTTGATCGTCGGAGGAACAACCAAAGAACCCAACCCCGTCCCCTCATGAGCTTTCATGGGCAGGACACAATATCAGGCTCAAAAATCAGTCATTCAAAGAAGCTTGAGGCCCCTAATACAACTTTAATCCACATATAAGCCTCTTATTTGGTAACTGACATCAATAATTTGGTGCTCATTATGGGCCCCATCACTCTTATTCGTGCAAGATGTCTAGTTCTGAACGCCCATGTTAGTCCGTCAACTCACTTCCTGAAGAACTGTGTGCGGGCTTTATTACTTAGGCCTAGTTGGAGGAATCTACTCATAGGATCTCCCAGTCTTTTCAATAGCAATTCACGGCATTCACCAATGAGCTCATCAACCAGATTCATTCTCAACAACCCTCTTCATCAGTTGCTCCTCCGCCTTCGGTACGCCAACCCTCGCATGTTCCTCCATCCTCGACAGGTCATCCATTCATCCCTCATCTACCTAGGTACGCCACACAAGCCAGATAGCAAGGGGACTACATCGAATACGCCCCCCCTTGCGCCAACAAACTCGCTTTGCAGCTCCTCCCCGACACTATCAATAGGCTCATATGTAGCTTTATGAAAAAAATTTCAAGAAATAGAGAAATAGAAAATTGAGAACCTATATTTTAGTATTACTCCTTTTCGGTGACGAGTGGATTTTAGTCGTAGGCTTTTTCTCTTGAGAAAGCTATTTCAGATTGATCTTAGGACATATTATTAAAGAAATTAAGAAAGCGCTTTAGGTTATTCTTCTAAACTTTAATTAATTTTGATTAATCTACATGATATGCAAATTCCACTGCTTTGTATGACATGTTTCTATCTGAGTAAGGTGCTTATTTGCTTCGGGAATAATTTTCTTTGTAGCTTCCATTAAATCATTTTAAAAAAACAAAAGAACAAGCTTTACACGTGTAACTCTTCTCTTTACAAAAAAATAAAATTGTGCTCCCTAGTAACACGTACATAAACTCCTACATAGTAGCCTCTGTTTGTGTGAGATTCTTTGCCTGTGCCGGGGATGCATTATCCATGGACCACCGAGCAACGTTCCTAAGTCGGAAACGAAGAAGGCTTAAAGTTAATGTTTTGACGAGGAAACAAGAACCAAAGTAAGTGTCTTAGCAAGGTATGACAAGTACTCTTCTTAAGATCAAGTCTAAGCTCGAACTCAAGGAAACACCAAAAGACTCTAAGAATGTTCGGGAGTGGATGAAGAACTCTCTCCTGCTCTCAAAGTTCGCCAAATGCCAGTTTGGTACCTTGCACAAGTGTGTAGGAGGGTATTTATAGCAGTGGGGAGCCATAACCGTTGAATAGAAGGCAAAAGACTTGATGGCCACTATCTCATGTGTGCGAGGCAGTGTTTACTATCTCGCCCAAAGGAGACAATACCAGGACTTTGTAACCGTCGTCCCACTACTTGAAGTGTGTTAAATGCCACACTTTTCGTGGGTAGTAGGCGTGCTTTCAGGGTGAAACTTCCTATTAACATTAATGAGTGTCCCCAAGCAATTATGAAACCAAGTGGACCCCACAAAACCTCACAAAATAGTCAGAAAACTTGGGAGGCTGTCTCACAGTTGGTGAGACAACCATCATTTTCTCGCATATGCGAGACAGTGGAGACTGTCTCACCAACGATGAGACAGCTCCAAGTCTTTTTTTGGTTCGACGTTTTGTGTTCTCCTTTGCTTCTCTTTGTATTGGAGGATCTTCTCTGACTTTGATGATGATATTCTTCATCTTCTCTCTAACTTGAGCTGAGTTTATGACCTATAGGTAATTTTTGATGCTTACAATGCCCAGCTCGATGATGGTTCAGGGGCGGACGACTGAGATAAGGTCAGAGAAGATGCGGTTGCGAAAGCCCTAGCCACGGAGCTTGCTCCAGACAGGGAGCAGATGGAGGAGGTTTCTTTGCAACATATTGTTAGGGAAGAAGCAAGATTCGATTTGTGGAACAAGAATCAATTTTTAAATTTGCCATCGTAATAATTTATATATCAATTTCAATAATTCACTTAGTTAAGAGGCGTTGATATTTCAATTGTTTGCACTCGTTTGGTAGGTGTTAGGATAAAACCCTTTATCCAAAGCACAAATGTGTAATACCAAATGGCTAACTTCTCCTAATATAGAAGACGTTTGGGGCGACTTATTTTTTGGTCAGATAGCTTTTAAGCTATCTTTTTTATTTCTACATATTTGGTAAAATATAAAATAAGTTAGCTTATAAGTCACGTTTTAAAAAGCCAGTATACCTCAGTTTTTGAAAAAACTAACTTATAAGCTCATCTAAATAAGTTAAATTTGACCAAATAAATTACTATACTACCCAAAAAATTGTTATAATATTCTTATCATAAAAGCCAAAAGCCACTAAAAGTTAGCAAAACATATAAAGTTTTAAACAATAAGCTTTCCCAAATACCTTCATAGTTACTATTTATGTGAAACTATAGTCGAAATAAGATCTCTAAGATAGATTATCTGGTGCATCTAATTGACAGGACGACCACGACCGTCATGCATGGGCATATGCATATTGTTGATTAGGGAAGCAATTGCAACCTCACAATGTCAAAACTAGATGCTATATTTTTCTATATTTGCAATTTATCCCCCTTAGTTTTAAAAAATTTCTAGATTCGCCTATGCAAACATGAATGCACTCTCCACAATAAGAGAGGCTGGATGTCATTGATCTATCACAAGTAGATAACTGTCGCATTTTGACTTGTCTTGTCACATCTATTTGATGAGTATGAGAAGCGAGAAAACAAACATGCCTAACAAGAAAATACAATAGATGAGAAATATAATAAAATAGGCTAAATAGTTTCACTCTTTTAGCACTTGTATATCTTCAATTATATTTCGTAGTATTTATATATCCTAAGTTGTTTAAAATTGACATATTAATACCCTCTGTTTCATAAACGTAAATATTTTTATTTAAAAGGTCTTGTATAACATTCATATCTTAATTTTAGAGATTTTTAATAATTAATATTTATTAAATTACTTTTAACTCTATCCAAATTCTAATCTAAATGTATATGGGCTTTGTTTTAAAAATAGAATTTGGAAAATTTTAACAATGAATTCAACAAACTTAACAATAGAAAATTATAAAATTACCATATGAATGTTATATGAGAACTTTTGAATAAAAATTTCAAGTTAACAAAATATAGAATATTAATGTGCTAATTTTGAACAACTCAAGTACATAAAGTTTGCGAATTACAAGTGTTGGTAAGTGCTAAGAGAATGAAACTGTGAGGTATTTAAGTGCTATTTAGCCAAATACTGGTTTTGCGAATAACTATTGTGACAGGGGGTCGGCTTGTAATTTTCCTCAATCCCATAAACCCTACTCTCCCCACCTTCACTAACCCTCTACCAAAAAATCCACCGTGCTCGGCGGCAATGGGGAAGAGAATGAGACGCGGCGGCCGATCGCCAGCGTCATCCTACTCCGTCCTCAACCGCGCCGCGAAGCTCGACTCCTCCTTCGACGTCGCCGCCGTCGTCAATCACCTCCGTTCCCGTTATCACGACTACTACCGCATTAAGGTCCAGCCTTTCACACACCGCGTCCAGAAAACCCTAGATGTCCTTCACCAAACCCAAAAATCATCTTCCTCCCATGACGACGATGAGGTCAACCGAAGCACTAAATGTAGGAACCCTAACCCTAGGAGGACCGATGAGTCGGAGAGGAGATTGCTCCACGCTGAGGCTGAGCATGTACGGAAACAGAAGCGCAAGATCCACCAAGCTGATCCATCTGATGCCTCGACGGCAGGCTCGACCTCGACCTATGAATCTGATGACGACGATGCCATATTCGAGGCGAAGGTCAATCCAGAATTTGACCTAATGAAGTCCACGCTGAGGGATAACTATGGCAATAAGTCAAAACCGCAGAAAGAGGATGAAAACCTAGAAATTGAAGCTTCTGCTGGGAAGAAGAGGATGGTTATAGGTGAAAATTTAACAAAGGTGGAGTCTTCGATGAAGGGAGGGGTAATAAGAAGGGAAGGAACTAGGTTTGAGGATCTTGGCGGGATGAGGGATGTTTTGGACGAGTTGCAGATGGAGGTGCTCGTGCCGCTTGTTCATCCGGAGCTGTTGAAGAGACTGGATGTTTTGGACGAGTTGCAGATGGAGGTGCTCGTGCCGCTTGTTCATCCGGAGCTGTTGAAGAGACTAGGAGTCCGTCCGGTTGCCGGAATTTTGCTGCACGGGCCGCCAGGTTGTGGGAAGACGAGGCTTGCGGAGGCCATTGCAAATGAGGCTGGTGTCCCCTTTCAGAAAATCTCTGCTCCTGAATTCATTTCGGGTGTCTCTGGTAAGCTCAATTTCATCTATTTTTTCTCTTCTTCTTAAGAATGCATCTAACTTGAAGGGGTCATGTTGTGATTCACTTGAAAATGATGGTGAAAGTTCATTTATATTAGGCTAAATTGTACTGAAATGCTCTAAAATTCACTGACATGCTTAAGTGACCCTTGTTTTAAAACTGAGCAGAAAAATGCCCCAAAGTATTTAAGTATTGTAGATGAAGGCCTCATAGTTTTAAAAAATCCAGACGGTGTTAACTTTTCTCTTGTATCCAAGACTATCACATTGTGAAACTT